GAAAACATTTCTAATTATTATTATCTCCAACAAAAACTTTCTAATATTTAGATGAAAACATTTTTAATTATTATTTTTAATTTCATTTTTATCTTTATTTATTCATAATTTAAATAAATAAAAATATTAATATAAAAATAATTTAATAAATCAATATATTAATAATAGGACAATATTTTATTTATTTTATATGTAGATAACTTAATACTAATTATAATTAAATTAATATATTTTATCAATAAATTACAAACTTGATTTCGATGTGTATGTATCACGCATGATATAATTAGAGTAAAAATCAGTTTGTTACGAATATTTATGAAATTATTATGAGCTACATTAAGTTTTACACAAGCAAAATTCTTTATGATATATTTGTGTATATATCTTAAACTCTATACTTATGATCATAAATATTATTATTTTTTATAAAAATGATTATATTTAACATAATATATAAAAATTAACTTTATTACTATATAATTTTATAAAAATAATTATTTTCTAAAATCAATTAATATTTTTTTTAAATAGAGTGACAATAAAATTTAGGGTAAAGTATAGTAATGGTCACTGAACTTTTTTAAAGCTTTCATTTAACTTTTAAAACTTGCAATACAATCCCCCAACATTTAGTCCATTTGCAATATGGTCCCCAACAGTTACATCAGGGACTATATTGCAAACGGACTAAATGTTGGGGGACCATATTACAAACGGACTAAATGTGGGGGACTGTATTGCAAGTTTTAAAAGTTGGTAACCTAAATGAAAGTTTTAGAAAAGTTCAATGACCATTACTATACTTTACCCTTTTTATATTATACAGTTGATTTAGACTCGTTAAAAATTCAAATCAATCTCCGATCATTCATGTATCTTTCATTTACAGCTCTATCCAGTTCCGTAATCCTTTACGCTTTTAATTCCACTGTCCTCCACAGTTTAGTTGAAAATCCCTTCGGAATCCTAGATTCCATGGCGCCGAGGAAGAAATAATCCGAAGGAATTGCTTGCTGTCCATGTACAACGACGAGGATGACGAAGATATGGAAGACATCGAAGAAGACCACTGCCAACAAGCTGAAGAATTACATGATCAAACCGCCTCTGGAAGATAATGACCACGGAGAATCAAACAGAATGGAAGAAGATTCGACAACTGACGATAATATGCTGCCGTTTCCGCACCAAACCTCCACTTCTCAATATCAACGACTAGTTTCTTCGAAAAGTAGTGGCCGAGGAAAGCTTAACATTGTTGATTACGGCCACGATGAAGTTGCCGTCTCGTCGGAGCACGAGGTAACTCTCTACGCTGCTCCCCCAATGCAGGGTCTTTTTTTAAAAGAAAAAAATCCTTGTTTAATGACTTGTGGTTATATTGATTTTTGATTTTTAAGTGCAGGAAGGAGAATTAGGAAGCAATGATGATCTTATGTTTGGTTTAGAGCATCAGATTGCTAATGGTACTTAACTACTTATTTGCTTTTTCTTAAGATAAATTTAACTTCAAATGTTACTCTTGAAAGCGCATTCTTTCCAATTTACTATTTGTTTTCAGTTGATTTTCAAGGAAAAACATCTCCTGTTCAGGGAACACCAGAATCACCCGATGTAGAACCATAACAACCTGAGGCAAACAACGCTATTACTGAGTCAGCTATAGACAAAGGTGATCCCTTGGATAAGTTTCTTCCACCGCCATCACAGGACCAGTGTTCAGAGGAGTTACAAGTATGTGTCTTTTTTATGCTAGCATATGGTAATTATACTTCTTTGGATGTAATTTTTACACTTATGTTGCCCTTGTAAAACTACCTAAATGTTGTACTGTTGAGGTAGATGAATATGTAGTGTTGCAAGTTTTATGTTAATTATATGTAAAGTAAGGTAGATATAGTATTGTAGTTTAAGTGTTTAAGTTTGCTATCACAAGATCTACTGATGCTTGGCACCCTTTAAGCTGCAGATGGTTTTATGCTGCTTTTCATGGGGTCCGGTTATATTTGTGCAACATCACTGGCTGCTTTGAAGTATGAACTTCATTGTTATTGATTGATTCAATGTCATCTCTCTCTTTTTTCTTCTAACAAAAAGATGGGTAGCTCATGCATGTTCTAGTTGCATTCTTTTTGCCATTTTGACTCAATGAACATATTTAAATGACCTTCATTCTTTCTGTTACGTTATTGCAGAGCAGAATAGACAAATTTCTCTACTTGAAGCGGTCTGGAAAAAGCTACAATGCGGAAGTTTGTAATAAGAAGGATTATAGGAACCCCGACATTTTGTTGCATCCTGTGCAGTATCAAGATATTGATCAGATAGGGTCTTGCTTCGGCAAAGATATATTTCATATTTGATCCTCATGGATATGACAAAACTGATTACTATGATGAAATAGGTTATTGCATTTACTTATGTAGTTCTCTCCTGGTCTATTGAAAAAGCTTAGCATGTCTGAATGACATTGGACACATTCAAAGTATCACTTCTTGTTGTTGAGTTTTGCTTTATTTTATTTGTTCTGCCAAAGCTTTTCTTGTTGAACTGTAAGCTTTCTTATTTGTTTTTTAAGCTTCTGTACACTTGTTTGTTTAATGGCTAATGCAGAGGCCGACATGAAACGTGAAAGGGAGAGGAAGGCACAAGAAAGTAAGAAGAATCAAAAGGTTGAATTTGTGTCTGGTGGAAGTCAACCTGGAGCGGGTTCTACTGCCCCAGAACTTGGCATGCCTATTGCAGGTAACTTTTAAAGAAATATTCTTTTATCGCTATTGCTATGCTTGTAAGTGGTATTTTTTACTCATGTCCTTGTATATGAGCTACCAATAAACATAACTTGGTAATATAAAGCTGCTCACATGACTTAGTTTGCACAAAAAGAGGGAATATATATTTTGCTTATTTTGAATAAACATTAGGGTAAAGTATAGTAATGGTCACTGAACTTTTCTAAAGATTTCATTTAGGTCTCCCAACTTTTAAAACTTGCAATACAGTCCCTCAACATTTAGTCCGTTTGCAATATGGTCCCCCAACAGTTACGTCAGTGACCATATTGCAAACGGACTAAATGTTGAGGGACCATATTGCAAACGGACTAAATGTTGGGAGACTGTATTACAAGTTTTAAAAGTTGGGGATCTAAATGAAATCTTTAGAAAAGGTCAGTGACCATTACTATACTTTGCCCTAAAATTTTATCCGGTCCACCAGTGTAACTCTAACCTAAATAATACCTTTTGAGGCATAACGTACACATTCCAAGAGGTGTCCGGTTAGACGGAATGAAGTCGTAGCCTGAAACTTTTGTGTCTAAAATACCCAAATCCAGACCAGCCCCGATGCCCTGTTCCCTAATATCAATTCCGCAGTCTCTCTTTCATCAATCAAGTTCTACGTCAATTCTTATCTTCCTCTTTCTCTTTAATTTATTCAACATTGAACCAAATTTGTATTGTTAACTCCTTAATCATACCAATTTAGGGTTTGAACTCATGAAGCTTGGATTTATTCAACTCTTCTCTTCTTTTGCTCTTGCCCATTTACTAGTTTCCTTGCACTGTTTTTGCTTGATTAATGATCTTGAATGGTTGCTCATTCCTAAGTAAATTGACTGTTTCCATGCCAGGAAATTGTCACTGGACCAACAAAGCTTTGTAAATGAAGCTTGAATTTATTGAACTGTTCCATTTTATAGTTCTGTTACGCTGTTTCTGAATGAATAATTGTCTTCCAGGTTGCTCATTTATGTGAATTGGTAGTTTGTAAGTCTGGAAATGGCTGTTAGTCCAACAAAGCTCTGCAAATCTCTCTTCAATCTTTATCCATGTCTTTCCCATTCCGTCTTGATTCACTCAATCTCTTCCTTGAACTCTGTGGAAGAAACCGTCAAATCTGCTGTCGAAGCCAAAACCTATGAACTACTTCCCAACATCCTTGCTGCCGAAGGAAAAATGGGACGGATTCCGAATCCTTTCTCATTTCTTTCCACCTTATCTTTGAGGCTTAGAACCCAGATTATTGATGAAATATTACAATCTTTTAAATCTGTTCGGCCTCGGTCCCGCCCCCGTGTTGTTTATGATCTTCTTCTTTCCTACACCCTTCAGAGTTCCCACCCCCTCCCTCTTTCCTTTGCCATCCTCCAATGCTCCCTTCGTTCTGGCTGTCTCCCTGATCCCCAAATAAAACTCCTCCTTTCTTCTGCATGGCTCAATTGCCGTGGCCGATCGCAGTCTGTTTCTGATAGCCTTATGGAGATGCAAGACATTGGGTTTTGCCCCGACTCCGTGACATTCAATTACCTTATATCTTCTCTTTGTGCTGTTGATCAGTTGGAGGAGGCAGCTCAAATATTGAAGGGTATGAATGGAGCAGGTTGCCTTCCTGATCTGGAGAGTTTTGCTGGTTTAATTACTGCAATGTGCACAGTTAGAAGGACTCGTGATGCAGTGGAGTTAATGGAGCAAATGGTGCAGAAAGCTAGATTGACTCCAAGGCAGAGAACAGTGATGAAGGTCATGGCGACTTTGCGGGCAAATAGAGAGATATGGAAAGCTGTCGAGTTGATTGAATTCTTGGAAAGAAAAGGCATCCCTGTTGGCTTTGAGAGCTATGAATTAGTTGTTGAAGGATGCTTGGAGTGTTGTGAATATGTTTTGGCAGGAAAGGTAGTTGTAGCAATGACTGAGAGGGGCTTTATACCCCATATTAGGGTCAGACAAAAGGTTGTGGAGGGCTTAGTTAATGTCAATGAATTTAAACTTGCCTATTCAGTTAGGGAAAGATTTGCAGAACTGGGTTCTTAGTTGCCTTTAGCTTCTATGAAGTGGTCGTCATAAGTATCCGAATGAAGAAAATCAGTTGTTGTTCGAAAGTTGAGGATTACACAACCTTCTCTGTTTACTTTCCCATCACCTGAAGTATTTCAGCTCTTGTCAACTCTGAATCTTGCAGTTGTGGGCGAAACATAACCTTTTTATTTTCTTTATTTAATGAAGTAGTATTACAGAAACAATCTGAGCTCTTAAGTAGATGCAGAGAACATACCACCACGGTAGCAAAGGGGGGTGGGAGAATCCAACACCAAGCTTCTCGGTTATATCATTTTCTGTGCCCTTTCTGTCAATAGAACATCGCACAATGGCAGCAATGCCAACTCCAAATTCAAAAACTTCAGATCTTGGATGACTCGTTTAAACTGAAGTTTTGGTGGAATGTTAATAAGTTTTCTCAGGTTTGAGTCTTTCGATCTCTTTAGATTTTATTTTATTTTCTTTGATAAGGTGACGGTATGTGTTATTATTTTATATCATTTTTATTTAAACAAAATTATTAAAAAATATGTAGACTCTTGATGAAGAAAGAGAAAATGATGTGAAAATTAAAAAAAAAGGTAAAAAAATCAATGCCATTATCATTTTAATTTTTTAATGATCAATGATCAAAATAAAAAAAAATGTAATGTTAATGACAATTTTATTAAAAATAATCATTGTCGGCTAATCAAAATAGGAAAAATATAATAATTTAATGACCAACGATATAGTTAAAAAGATAAAAGGGGTAAACTATATACTTAGTCATCATCACCTATTTTGTAATTTTGTTTTTCATCTAATTATTTTTTCAAAAACATATCATATTTTATATTTTGATTCTGTTTTAATCACTTATCGTTAAAAAAACAAAATTATTGATATGTTAATTTCATTGTTAATAATAATCAATGATCAAAATAGAACCAAAATATAGCGTTAGGTATGATTTTGAGAAGAAAAATAGTTAATTGATCAAAATAAAACCCTAAAAATAAGTGAATGACTAAATATGTAGTTTACCAAAAAAGGAAATAAAGAAATCAGAGGAGGACTGAGACTAGGGCTGGCAATGGATCGGAGATGGGTCGGGTGGAGCTTCATCCGCCCCATCACCCGCGATCCAAATCTCCATCCACACCATCCATCACCCACCAAAAATTTCATCCATATCCGCTCCATCCATCATCCGCGAGTGGAGCAGATGAGAAATTGATTATACTATGAACAAAACCTATTTTTACATCCTAAGCTCATATTCTTCTAACATTCATAGAAACCAGACATTGATACTCAAACATTCATAGAAACCAAAACATGAACAATAAATTTTCATCAAATTCAAACAAAAACCCCACCAAGCTGCCATTCAATGAAACAGAATACATGGGTGTAGTAATGCAAGTTCTAATCCAATTGCAGAATTTGTCAGGAAGTCTCATGGCTCCAAGAACATACAGCAAAAAATCCCAATTGACAGAGTCAAAAGCCTTCTGAAGATCTATTTTGATAGCACATCTAGGAGATAAGCTCTTCCTGGAGTAACCCTTAATCACTTCCTGTGCTAAAAGGGTGTTATCCACTATATTCCTACCCTTAACAAAAGCTGTCTGATTGAGGGAGATCATTCCAGGGAAGAAAGGAATAAGTTTGTTAACAAGGATCCTTGTTATAGTTTTGTAGACCACTGAACAACAAGATATGGGTCTAAAATCTTTTGCCAAACAAGCATTAAAAGACTTAGGAATCAACACCAAAGCTGTAGAATTGAAAGCAGGCAGCAAGCAAGAAGTATGAAAAAAGTGTCTCACAGTAGAAATAAAGTCATTACCAACAATTTCCCAAGCAGCCTTAAAGAAGCCAGATGTAAAACCATCTGGACCCGGGCTTTTATCCTCCCCCTATCTGAATAATGCTTCATTGATCTCCAGATCACTCACCTCCTTGGTAAGAGCAAAGTCTGCTCCCTTAGGCAGAGAGTACCCCAATAAATCCTTCAAAATCTCAGTAGAGCAACCCTTTACCAAAGGATCAGTAGAGCCAATAAGATTCGTGAAAAAATTCACTAACTCAGCAGCCATTCCTTCAAAAGAATCATGTCTCATCCCATCCTCACCCACGACGATCCTGATAGTATTTCTTTTCTTATTAGCCTGAGTCCTTTGATGAAAAAACCTGGTATTTAAGTCACCCTCTCTCAGCCAATGTGCTTTTGCCTTTTGTTTGTAAAAAACAGATTCTGCCAGCTCTAAATCCATTAATTCAGCATGGATCCTCTTCTCATCACCAATACTCCTCTGATCATGGTTAGCCAGATTGAAAATCTGGATCTGCTCTAGTTCAACCCTTTTGTTGTTAACCCTACTCGAGATATCAGAGAAATACTCCTTATTGAAGTTCTTTAGGATAGGTTTGAGCCTCCTCAGCTTAAGGAACATGCAATTCATAGCATTATCACCACAAGAACCATGCCATGTGTCTCTAACAGTAGCTAAAAAAAGCTCATATCCAGTCCAACAATTAAAAAATTTAAAAGGCCGAGGCCTCTTGGTCAAACCACCTTTACGAGTCCACAGTAACCCGAGACAATGATCTGAAACGCCCTGAGCAGCAAATTCAACAAAAGATTCTGAATGATCAAACAACCACTGATTGTTAACTAAGATCCTATCCAATTTACGCACTAAAAACGAGTCTTCTTGTTTATTTGACCACGTGAATAATGGACCAAGAAACGGATGATCCATAAGATCAAGACTCTCTAAGCAGTCTTGAAATTCTTTCATGTCTGGGGTGCAATGAAAACCCATTACATCAAAGTCAGAGCTCTCCTCTGCTTTGGCTATGATGTTGAAGTCCCCCCCAAGGACCCAAGAAGAGGAACCAATATCATCTCCAACAGAATGTAAATGGTCCCAAAGTCTTCTTCTAGCAGCACCACTATTGTTACCATAGATAGCAGTAATAAATGTCGTATGCCCATCAACAGTCCCCCAAATAGTAATAGCTTGGTCATGTTTTCTCAGTATAGAAAATGACAAGTGCTTCCTCCAAAAAATCCACAGTCGACCACCATCAATTAAGTCATAATTTTCAGCATAATGCCAGTCAGCAGACATAGCAGAGCAGAAACTATCAACTTTGTCCCTCCTGATACGAGACTCCATCAAACAAATAACATCCACACCATAATTATCCAATCTTCTAAACACTTTCAGCTGTTTATGGGGGTTATTAAACCCCCTAACATTCCAAAATCCTATTATCATTAAGAAGGAATGGATTGCACAGCACCATCAGAACCCAAAGTTACTGTAGCACCCTTGGCTTTCTCAAAATGATCTTTCTTTTTTGACTTGATTTCATTAAACAACACAGCCACCCCCAAGGAAGCAACTCTAGTTTTCCTAGGACCTTCAGCCACACCTTCTGTTTTGCTTGAAGAGCCAATAGTCTCATTCTTCCCCCCCTTAGTCTTCCTCTTTAAAGAGTCTTGGAGTGGAGGAAAATCCCCCTGTTGAACATCCTGTGAAGGAACAAAAACAGGAACATTCGCAGGCACGTTTACCCCACAGTTCTCCTGCAAGTCTTTAACTGATAGCTCAATGGCAGGACCAACCTGCAGATCCATATTTTGCACCATTTCAGTAGCCTTGTGAACATTGACAGAAAGAGGCTCAGGGCTATTGGTCACTACTTTAGAAATACTGGAATTTTCATGAGACACCTCAAAAGCAGATGCAATAGCTGTAATAACATCCTTGCTACCATTACCCAAAGACGACATATCCTTTTTCCTCCAAACCTGAATCTCCTTAGGCTTCTGCAAAGACTGTTTAGCTACAGTACATGATTAAACATGATGACCAAAGGATTTACATTCAGTACAGCTTTTAGGCAGCCAGGGTACAGATACTTTAATAAGCACAGATGACCCATCTTTTAAAACTACATGAATAGAATCAGGTATAACACTCCCCACTTCAATCTCAACGCAGACCTTAGCAAATTCAAGCCTCTGCTTAGAAGCTGTTATAGCATCCATATACAAAGGCCTACCAATGGCACTAGCTATGTAGCTTAAACCCTTCTTAGAGTAAAGCTCTAATGGAACCCTATAGAGCTGCACCCAGATTGGCATGCAGGATAGATCAAAACTCAATTTCTGCGACCCATGTAGCCATTTCCTCAAAACTAGTGGCTTATTTTGGACGTGCCAAGGACCATTTTCCAGAACCCATTGCTTCAACACACAGTCAAGGAATGAAAAAACAAAGAGATTAGGGCCGGCTAAACTAACCTTCACTTGCGAGGAATTGCCCCAAATCATCTCGATGATACGCTGCATAGATCCAAAACTTGGAGCAGGACCAAGAAATTGACCAAACAAAGCGTTGTTCCAATCCGCAATTCCTTTATCAATCACTCTAAACCGAATCTGGTTAGCCACTGGGATTAGATTGGCTCAGCTCCCTGTTAGGTATCTAGGGGTTCCCCTAGTTAGCCGCAAGCTCACTGGTAAAGATTGCACTGCTCTGCTGGAAAGAATAAAGGACAAATTGAGGCAATGGTCCAGCAAGAAACTCAGTTTTGGAGGTAGATTGCAACTAGTTAAATCTGTTCTCTTCAGCATCTTTAATTTTTGGTGTAGGCAGCTTATTATTCCTAAAGGGATTGTTAAGGAAGTGGAGAGGCTCTGCATGCGTTTTTTCTGGAAAGGGTGTGACACCCCGGCTAGAGGAGCCCGAGTAGGTTGGAGTCAGATATGCTCCTTGAAGTCTGAGGGTGGGCTGGGACTCAGGGATCTTGCTCTATGGAGCAAATCGTGTTGCCTGATGCTAATTAGGAATATCCTAGCTAATGTTGGTTCATTGTGGATAGCTTGGATAAAGGCTTACTACTTTAAATCAGATAGTTACTGGCAGGTTCCTTGCAAGCCTCATTATAGTTGGATTTTAAGTAAACTACTGAGGCTTCGAGACGATGCGAGGAGATTATTTGCTCCTGGTACTGATTTAAGTCAGATCAATGGTAAATGGATTTGGGATGGTGTTCGAATAAGTAGAGAGAATGTGAGTTGGCACAAGATTATCTGGTTCCCTTTTCATATTCCAAAATTTTCCCTTATTGCGTGGATGGTTACCCTCGATAGGCTGCCAACTAAGGACATGCTTGTTCGTTTTGGCTTGGATATTGATGATGTGTGTATGGTTTGCGGTTCTGGTAGGGAATCACGTGATCATCTATTTGCAGATTGTCCTTATGCTAAGTATGTATGGAGTAATGTTCTACGGCTGTGTGGGATTCGTTATGTGGATTTCAGCTGGGATCAGCGTCTTTATTGGTTGATCGAGAATTTGAAGGGCAAATCCCTTCGCAGTCGGATCTTTAAGCTTGTTTGGACCGGGTTTCTTTATCATATTTGGGAAGAACGCAACCACAGGCAGTTCCGTGGTCTTTCAAGCACTAGCGAGGTAATTGTAAATAGAATTAAAGTAGCGGTGAAAACAAAAATGTATAGCCTTAGTATACACAGAGTTGATGATGGTAATAGATACTTGTACACAAATTAGAACCTGATCTAGGCTGAGGCAGGTTTGTTTGTAACAACTATGCTGTTTCTTTTGGATGAAATATAATTTACTTATCCAAAAAAAAAATTCAAACAAAAATAAAATGGAACACAATTTATATAGTCTTGTGCACTATGTTTGTGATACATTTTTCAAATGAATAGATGCATCATGTATAGTCTTGTACACCAAATATAATCTTCAAATCTTCATCAACAAACTATCACTTCTCAAAAGTCCTCTCCATCCTAGTATTAATATGGATAAACCAATATTTAAAAATTAGACATATTTTCAATAGGATAAAAGTCAAAATTAAAAGAATATAATCATCCGTTTATTTTTTTAATATATATATATATATATATATATATATATATATATATATATAGATGAATATATTAATGGGTGGATGGATGCTGCGGGTGATAGGTAAATTTTTTTTTATTTATATCTAACCCGACCCATCACCCGATCCATCCATCACCGCGCCTATCATCCGTTTCAAAAAATCATTTATTCGGGGCGGACCCAGATAATTGCCAGCCCTAACTGAGACCGAATATTTGGAGTTTGTCTCCGAATAAGGAGAGAAAAAAAGGGCATGGAATGCGTTCAATCTCATCCCCTTTCATTCAATCTTCACCTTTCCCCTCCAAATCCTGTATCTCGTAAGGCCAAACAATTCTGCAGAATCAAAGCCTCCGCAAGATCCCCACCCAAACCCCCCAAGAAACCTACCAAATTTCCCCGCAAAAGAAGAAGAAACCCACCTTCTTTGCCCTTCCCCTTCCAGAAAACTCCAATTCCCCCCTCTTTGCCACTCCACTCCAAGAACCCACAGGCCATTTACAAAGACATTCAAGCGTTCGCTAGACAGAACAAGCTCAAACAAGCCCTCTCCATTTTGGACTATGTAGACCAACAAGGCATCCCTGTTAATCCCACCACCTTCTCTTCCCTCCTCGCCGCTTGCGTTCGCACCAAATCCTTAGCCGACGGAAAACAAATCCACGCTCACATTCGGACCAATGGGCTCGAAAGCAACGAGTTTTTACGTGCCAAACTGGCTCACATGTACACTTCTTGTGGCTCCATCGAGGACGCCCGAAGGGTGTTCGATGGGTGTACTAGCAACAATGCTTATTCCTGGAATGCTTTGCTTAGAGGAAGCGTTGTGTTGGGTGGAAAACGGTATTTGGACGTTCTTTCTACGTTTCGTGAAATGAGGTCGTTGGCTGTCGAATTGAACGAGTACACGTTCTCTACTGTTCTTAAGAGCTTTGCGGGTGCATCAGCGTTTAGACAAGGCTTAAAGGCTCATGCCCTTTTGTTTAAATATGGTTTCATTAATAGTTCAATGCTTAGGACGGGTTTGATTGACTTGTATTTTAAATGCGGGAAGATTAAACTCGCTCATCGCGTGTTCGAGGAAATCCCTGAGAGAGATATTGTTCTGTGGGGGGCGATGATTGCGGGTTTTGCTCATAATAGGATGCAGAGGGAAGCCTTGGATTATGCTAGATGGATGATAAGTGAAGGTATACGTCCGAATTCTGTTATACTTACTACGATTCTTCCAGTGATTGGAGAAGTTTGGGCACGAAAAATAGGTCAGGAGGTCCATGCTTATGTGATTAAGGCAAAGAGTTATTCGAAGCAGTTGGCTATTCAGTCAGGTTTAGTTGATATGTATTGCAAGTGTGGTGATATGGAATCGGGCAGGCGAGTTTTCTATTGTTCTGAAGAAAGGAATGCGATTTCTTGGACCGCTTTGATGTCGGGATACATATCGAATGGGAGGCTTGAGCAGGCTTTGCGATCAGTTGTATGGATGCAACAGGAAGGGTTTAAGCCTGATGTTGTCACGGTTTCCACAATTCTTCCTGTTTGCTCACGGCTGAGGGCTCTCAATCATGGGATGGAGATTCATGCTTATGCCGTGAAGAACTGTTTCTTTCCCAATGTATCTGTCGTCACTTCCCTGATGATTATGTACTCAAAGTGTGGCGTTTTAGATTATTCTTTGAAGCTGTTCAATGGTTTAGAGGCACGGAATGTGATTTCATGGACAGCCATGATTGAGTCGTATGCAGAGAATGGGTGTTTACACGAAGCAATCGGCGTGTTTAGGTCAATGCAGTTGTCGAAACACAGGCCGGACTCGGTGATAATGGCTAGGATGTTAAACATTTGCAGTGAGCTTAAAGCTGTAAAGCTTGGGAAGGAGATTCATGGACAAGTCTTGAAGAAAGATTTCGAGTCGATTCCTTTCGTATCGGCTGATATTGTTAAGATGTACGGTGGTGGTGGATTAATCGGCAGTGCGAAGTTAGTATTTGGGGGCATCCGTGTTAAGGGTCCTATGACATGGACTGCCATTATAGAGTCTCATGGATGTAATGATCTTTATGAAGATGCAATTCGTCTTTTTCATCTAATGATATCTGATGGATTCACTCCGAATCATTTCACTTTCAAAGTGGTTTTATCGATTTGCAGAAAGGGCGGATTTGTCGATGAGGCTTGCCGAATATTCAGTGTCATGACTCGTAAATATAAACTCGAGGCATCTGAAGAACATTACTGTATAATGATTGAGCTTCTCGATATGCATGGTCGCTTTGAGGAGGCTGAAAGATTCAGGCAGATGAAATCTGTGTCATCCTAAGAAAAACAGCTCTTGTTTTCTCATGTTTCGGTTTCGACAAGAGGTGACGATTGGACGAACTGGTTTGGTTGCAAGTCGGATTAATCTGGATCAAGTAAATTCCGATTTTAATATTTTCAGATCATTTTGAGTTGGAATCATAAATCAATTGGAGTTTATATTTAAATCAGAATTGACAGGTCCACTTCATCCGTGAACCTATACACAATTTTCTTTTACAATGTTTAAAATATTTTGGGTATATACATAATGAAATTTCTTAAATAAATTAATAAAATGTTATATCAATTTTGATAATCTTTTAAAAAGATTTAAAACAAAATTATATATATATATATATATATATATATATATTTTAATTGTCGTCGATATAATGATGTTAATCTTATTGCATTCTTTCGTTATACATGTTATTTAAAATAAAATTATCATTTTAAAAACTATAATTCATTCTCCTTTACTTTAGACTAAAATATTTGTTGATAATAATGTGTAAGTTATCATATATATTTGAAATACCCAATTTATTATAATAAAAAAGCTATATAATCGCGATTTAAATCAATTCATAAAATTGGAAATGAAATTTCTTTTTATGAAATCAGAAGTTTATTTTTTTTTTTGTCTTTAAGAGAACTCGTACTTTTTAAATAAGAATAGTTTGAATAATATTTAATTGTTAGTTTTCAAATATGTCAAATTATAAAGCAACGTAAAATATAAACTCAAATAAATCACAGAAAACCTCAAAGTAACAGTGAAATCAAATCACACAAACCCAAAAAAGTGTTGAACAAATCCCAAAATGACATTGGAATCAAATCATACAAAGCCATAAATCAAGCAACACACACAATTACACTACGCATTGCTTCAGATTGTAACTGGCCACCAAGCCCGAGTGGAAGAAAATGTTGAACTAAAAGTTGGGAAGAGGATGTTTAAATATAGAGTTGGGTGCAATATTCTTCTTATTATAAGCTTGGGAGTCGTTCCAGTGATAAGATCTGGGGTTATAGCGGATTTAGTTAGGAGATTTGATGGTGTTTTTTGTTTTAGGCGTGGATCTTGTATGGGTTCCTTTGAGAATCATTACATATGTGGAATTTTTTTTAATAAATAATACATTTGTAGGCATTGAACACTTTGTCACTATTAATAAATGTTTTTTTTTAGGAACTTACAGTTGCGATTGCAATCAATATGATCTGAATAACTGCAATCCGAATCAATCGTTACAACGAGACTAATAACCGTTATAAATATTGAGAGAGTTCACACGGTGGGACCTATGACCCTAATCAATGTCGGTAAAAAAGCTTGTATGATTGTGTTAAAGGAAACACAGGATATACACAGACGAGCATTGCAAATTAGCATATGTGTGTCAACAGTTTAGAATCAAAGTTGATGTTATTTTTGCAGGAGAAGCTGGTGAGAGTAGGTCACGTCTTTGAGCAGGTGTTCATGGCCTACAAACGACTGCTGGGCATTCATTTAAGCTCGTGCTCTCTAAATATGAAACGGTTTGAATAATAATAATTTGTTACTATTCAAACAGGGCAAATCATAAAGCAACATTGTAATAAAATCATATAATCACAAACCAACCTTAAAGTAACACTGAAATCAAATCATACAAACCCAAATACGTCTTAAACAAATCCCAATCTGACATTGGAATCAAAGCACACAAAACCATCAATCAAGCAACACTCAGAATCATAGATTAAACTCATTGAGTTTTTAGAACTATTTTCTCGAATAAGTCGGAATGAAATGTCAAGTTCTTTGTGAATTATTTGAGCTGGATAAAATCTCCCGACCTGCTCATCAATAACCACAGAGAATTTTTTTTTATAGAAAAGAATGATTACACAGAATAATAATTCTTTAATTATTTAGAGAACTTACTCGAAAGCTTTAAAAGTCAAATTGGCATTTGAAGTGAATAATAAAGTTGCATGTACACTCTTCACACTAGAGAATTTCTTCAAGGCAAAGCTTACCACATCAAGAGCATTTAGGGTAGCCCTCATCTTCTTAAAAAAAAGATGATGATTATGCCCGACATAATAATGTCACGTAATCCCATCCTTGACAAATAAAAATTTTCCAAGAACACAATCGGGATGAGCAGAAGTATCGCAGATTGAACAATAGTAATACTAAAGGTTTGGATCTCTTTCTCTTTCACAAATATCACAATAACAATGATTTGAATAATCATTATCATCATGGTAAGTAAGGTATAGTATCTGTTGATCCACTTTGTGAAGAGCTGAATGCGGTAAAGTTAAGCATACAAAATCCAAAGCAAATTTGCAGCTTCTACATTTCAATGCACCCCAGCCATTACTAGCAGCGCCACATCCCTTACATCGCTCCCAACATTTGAAATCAAAAGAGAGAAAGTGTTGGTGTCCTTGATCTTCATCGGGAACTTTAGCACACCTTATGCAAACATTGTAGTATCCTCCAATGTTGTAGAAGAAACCACTACAACATCGATTGCACAAGCAACATTTCAGAAAGACAGCGGATTGAAGAGTGGCATTGGATTGACGAAACCAATGTTGCTTGATTCTTGGCAACTTAGCACAATTTTTGTGAAGACAAAAATGGCAATCTGATTCCAAACAATAATAAAACAAATTAGTTGAGACAGGCAGCATGCACCCATCACATTTTCTATCAGTTTCCTCCTCCATCTTGTCTGCTAACACCAGGCAATGACCTTCATGGCTGAAATGTTCAATCTTTGTGGCTTCCCCATCTTCATTCATCTCAATAACACGAGTGATGGAAGACTGCGTAGCGGCATTGAGCTCCTCACATTGGCATTCTTCCTCAATTACCTCGTACAGATCTCCTTCTCCAAGGCACAATTCACATGGACAACGTAATTGCAACCTGGCTTCACACAAGAGTAACTCCCACGCTCTAGTTTCTGTTAGGAAATAAACCGAGTACAAGTAATTTCCCTATAACCAGATTAGTGAGAACGCGAAATAAAATCGGAAAAATAATACCCGAAAAATTGATAACGGAGTTCAGCCAATTTTGCTTACGTCTCCGGACTGCTGCAGATCTTTTACTAAGAGAGAAATTTTACAGGTGTTTACAAAACACTCACTACTCACAAGAAAGCTCTCTAGTATTGGGAGAAAGAAATGATTTTTGGGATGATTTTGAAGCTAAATGAGCTAGGGTATTTATAGCTGAAGCTTAAAGACTAATATTGTAATTAACCATATTATAAAAAATAAAAAATTACAGCAGCCCCCCCCTTAGCAGCCCCCTTATCAGCCCCCCTTAGCAGCCCATGTGTTTTATTAATTTTCAACAATCTCCCACTTGAAGACTGATTTTAATCTGTCTTCACACCTCGATCAATGCAGCAGCATTTCTGGTCTTTTATTCTAGCATGCCAACTGAAGCTGAACACAACTTCAGTTTTTCTGTGGTCACCGTCTTTGTTAACATGTCTGCCGGATTTTGAGCTCCACTAATCTTTTCAAGTTTCAAAATCCCATCTTCCAGAAGAGACCGGATAAAATGATATCTCAATTGTATGTGCTTCGTCCTGGAATGAAAAGACGGATTCTTCGCTAGATGGATAGCACTTTGACTGTCGCAATACAAGACATTGTTTTCTTGTTTCTTGCCTAACTCTTCCAAGAAACTTTGGAGCCAGACCATCTCTTTGCTGGCTTCCGTAACAGCGACATATTCTGCTTCGGTTGTAGAGAGAGCAACTATCTTCTGTAGTTGAGAAACCCAACTCACTGCGGTTCCTCCTAGAGTATAGACATACCCTGTAGTGCTTCTTCTGATGTCAACATTTCCGGCTAAGTCAGCATCTACATAGCCTGTCAGTATCGTATCTCCACCTTTGAAACAAAGTGCTTTGTTTGTGGTACCTCGCAGATATCTGAGGATCCATTTGACTGCTTCCCAGTGTATTTTGCCTGGATTATTCATGTACCTGCTAACAGCTCCCACTGCTTGAGCAATATCTGGTCTGGTACAAACCATGGCATACATCAGACTTCCAATTACTGAGGCATACGGCACCTTCACCATGTGTGCACGTTCTTCCTCCGTCTTTGGTGACTGTTCTTTGGAGAGTCTGAAATGAACACCTAAAGGTGTACTTACTGGTTTAGCATCTTGCATGTTGAACCTGGAGAGTACTTTGTTGATGTACTCAGCCTGTGATAACATCAAAGTCTCCGACTTTATGTCTCTCTTGATCCTCATCCCAAGAATCTGCTTTGCAGCGCCCAGATCCTTCATAGCAAACTGCTTCGACAATTTTTGCTTCAAGTGTATAATCTCTTGCATGTCTGAGCCTGCAACGAGCATGTCATCAACGTACAATAATAAAATAATGAAGCTGTTGTCGAACCTCTTGATGTAGCAACAATGATCTGCTTGGCATCTGGTAAAACCACTGCTACCCATGAAACTATCGAACTTCTTGTACCACTGTCTAGGAGCTTGTTTTAAACCATACAAGCTCTTCTTCAACCTGCATACCAGGTTTTTCTTGCCTGCCTCTATGAAGCCTTCTGGCTGCCTCATATAGATTTCTTCCTCCAAATCACCATGAAGGAAAGCTGTCTTTACATCTAACTGCTCAAGATGTAAATTTTCTGCAGCTACAATTTTCAACACCAGTCTGATTGTAGACAGTTTCACGACTGGAGAGAAAATTTCATTGTAATCAATACCTTCTTTTTGCTGAAAGCCTTTGACAACCAATCTTGCTTTGTAACTTTTGCTCCCATCGTGCTCTTCTTTGATCCTGTAAATCCACTTGTTATGGAGCGCTCTCTTGCCTGGTGGTAATTCAGCTAATTCCCACATCTGATTTGACATAAGCGAGTCCATCTCATCTTTCATGGAAGACTCCCACTTGACTGAATCCTCCACTTGCATTGCTTCATCATAACACTCTGGTTCACCATTGTCAGTCAACAACAAGTAGTGTAAAGAAGGTGAATACCGTTGGGTTGGTTTAGGAATTCTGGAGGAGCGTCTCAGTTCTGGTGTGCCTGGTTCTTCCTCTTGAACTGCTTCAGGACTGATCTGAACATCATTTTCAGAAATCTCCTCGAACTCAGCAAATTCCTTTGTTTCAGCCTCGGTATTACTTGATTCTGCGGTTGACCTGTCTTTGTACATCACATTTTCATTGAAAATGACGTCTCTGCTTCTGATGATCTTTCGATTTTCGTAGTCCCAAAACCGGTAACCGAACTCATCACCACCATAACCAACAAAGGCACATTTGTTGGACTTAGCATCAAGTTTACTTCTTTCAGCAGAGTCTATGTGTACATAAGAAATACAACCAAACACTCTTAAGTATGAAAGGTTTATTTCTTTCTTGCTCCAAGCTTCCTCTGGTATTCCGCCATCCAAAGGAACAGAGGGCCCACGGTTGATCAGGTAAGCTGCAGTGTTGATAGCTTCAACCCATAGAAATTTGGGCAATCCGGCATGTATCCTCATGCTTCTAGCACGTTCATTCAGAGTTATGTTCATGCGCTCTGCTACGCCATTCTGCTGCGGTGTTATGGGAACTGTTTTCTCCATCTTAATCCCATTGTTTGCGCAGAAATCTCTGAATCTACTGTCTCTGTACTCTCCTCCATTGTCAGACCTCAACCTCTTGACTTTCAACCCAGTCTCATTTTCCACCATGGCCTTCCATTTTCTGAAGGTATCAAAGACTTCTGATTTCTTCTTCAGAAAATAAACCCACACCTTCCTTGTTGAATCATCGATGAAGGTGACATAATATAGTGAGCCTGCAAGAGATGGAACTGGGGATGGTCCCCATACATCAGTATGAATCAATTCTAACCTTTCTGCCTTGGGTGCCTTGCCAATCTTTTCAAAACTGACTTTCTTTTGTTTGCCAAAGATGCAATCCTCGCATAGTCCGACATCCACATTCTTTAGATCCGGCAGCTTCCCTTTTGACAGAAGTATCTTCATTCCTTTCTCGCTCATATGGCCAAGCCTTTGGTGTCATAGGTTTGATTTTCCATCAGCATCTGCTACTGCAATGATATTCTCTAAATTTGAGGTTACATAGAGAGTACCAGTCTTCTTACCACGAGCAATGACGAGTGCTCCTTTGGTAATCTTCCATTCACAACCTGAAAAGGTTGTACTATATCCTTCTCCATCAAGTTGTCCAACAGAAATCAGATTTCTTTTGAGGCCAGGAATATGTCTCACTCCTGTCAGCTTCCAGGTGGTCTGGTTTGGCAGCTTTAGTCGGATATCTCCTTTTCCGACGATCTTCAAGGTTTCATCATCAGCAAGATGAACCTTCCCAAAATCACCACTGATATAGTTCTCCATGATTTCTTGGCATGGGGTGGAGTGGAAAGATGCCCCTGAATCCAAGATCCATGATTCAATCGGACTGTTGACGCTTAGAATCATGGCATCACCTGTCTCCTCTGTCACGTTGGCAGATTCCTGTGCACCGGTATCTTTCTTCAGTGCTCGGCAATCTCTTTTAAAGTGACCTTTCTTGCCACAATTATAACAGGTAAAATCTTTCTTTCCCGTTCTGGATTTTTCCCGTCTGGATTTGGATCTGCCACGATTTGAATTTCTTTCTGAAGTTCTCCCTCTGGACTACGTGTGCAAGGCTGAGGAGGTTGATGCTTCACCCGATTCTCTCCGTCGAATTTCTTCGCTCAGTACCAGATCCCGAACATCGTCGAATTTCAATTTACTATTTCCCGACGAGCTGCTAACTGCTGTAACAGTAGCATTCCAACTGTCTGGTAGAGATGATAAGAGAATTAAAGCTCGAACTTCATCATCGAATTCAATTTCTACAGAACTCAACTGGGTTGTGATTGTGTTGAGTTCATTCAGGTGTTGAGCCACTGATGCCCCTTCCGTCATCCGCAAATTGAATAATCGCCTCATCAAGTGAACTTTGTTTGAGGCCGATGGCTTCTCATACATACTGGAGAGAGCTGCCATAAGAACTGCCGTGGTCTTTTCCTTTGCTATGTTGAAAGCAACATTTCGGGATAACGTCAGTCGGATAACTCCGAGGGCTTGTCTGTCGAGAAGAGCCCAATCTTCATCCTTCATGCCCTCTGGTTGCTTTCCTGAGAGGGGTTGATATAGATTTTTCTGGTACAGAAAATCTTCGATCTGCATCTTCCAAAAGCCAAAGTCCGCACCATCGAACTTTTCAATTTTCACCTTCCCTTCGTCTGCAGCCATCGCTCCCACTCGAATCTGGCTTCGTTTGGATCGTTTCTGACAATTTCTGCGAACCGCCGTGTATTAGAACACCTCCGTCGACAAACTCGTATCGCCGACCGAATTTCACTATTCACGAAATTCACTATTCACGTGAATAGTAATGAATAGTAACCTCGCAGAAAATTGACAAAATTCACAACCAAAAGCTCTGATTACCAGTTGTTAGGAAATAAACCGAGTACAAGTAATTTCCCTATAACCAGATTAGTGAGAACGCGAAATAAAATCGGAAAAATAATACCCGAAAAATTGATAACGGAGTTCAGCCAATTTTGCTTACGTCTCCGGACTGCTGCAGATCTTTTACTAAGAGAGAAATTTTACAGGTGTTTACAAAACACTCACTACTCACAAGAAAGCTCTCTAGTATTGGGAGAAAGAAATGATTTTTGGGATGATTTTGAAGCTAAATGAGCTAGGGTATTTATAGCTGAAGCTTAAAGACTAATATTGTAATTAACCCTATTATAAAAAATAAAAAATTACAGCAGCCCCCCCTTAGCAGCCCCCTTAGCAGCCCCCCTTAGCAGCCCCCCTTAGCAGCCCATGTGTTTTATTAATTTTCAACAGTTTCAATTCTTCGAAACAGGTCTTGCAATCCTGCCTTGTAAGCTCTTGTTTTCGGAGAAAATATTTGTGAAAAAGACAGTGATCATGTCTGGAAAATTTGATAATTGGTGGGAGTTTTGTAAAGTCTTTATGGACAATGACGCTGCATGTGGGACATATATATGATATAGAATTCCCCTCAGTGCCACACGCATCGCAAATGAATGCGTCCTGCCTCCAAAGTAAGGTGAATGGGTGCTGGTGGCGGCCTTTGTCTTCAACAACGGGCCTCGGCCGAGCACATTCAACATTAATGTTAAAATTGCAAAGAGAACAAGAATAAAAGTATCCACCATGTTTCTTTTGGCATGGCTTGCAAAAGAGATGATTCTTTTTACGCTCAAGAAAAAGGGTGTAGCTGATGGATTTTAGCGGGTAACTCATCAATGCATTTCGTATGGAAAACAAAGGATGGACAGTGAAAACAAAAATAGATAGTATCAAGCGATGGTTGATGACACCAGAGGCTGTTGAATCTTTTGAGTTCATCCATGGGAGTTTGAATGAAGGTTGATGGATGTTGGTGGAAGTCATGTTTGGACACTGGGTTGACCTTACCATACGAAGAAGATAAATTAAAACATTCGATGTCAAGGGAAAACGAACAATTATTACATTCATAAGAGAACATGTCACGTTTTTCCTTGCATAATGCACAACCATATACGGTTTTCCTTTCTCGAAGAAAAAAACCTGAGTGGTGGGGATGGAGAGGGTGATTAGAAATTGAATAGGGTACCTCTGCACATTTTTTATGAAGGTGATAATAGCATAGTGCACAAGTAAATAAGGAACCTGAAACCAAATTCACTGCATCCATAACAGTAAGCTTTGAGATCACCTTCATTGATTTGCTCTTCCGCAAACACCAAAGGATGCACATGGAACCTATGCTTAATCGCTCTCTCATTTTTCATCTCCATTTGTGTTTTTGTGAGTAAAGAATATGAGATAGCTGTGAATGACAAGTAGATGTTCAAACATCAATTTCTTATAAATACCACTTAAAGGGAATAGGATTCTTGCCTGTACAGAGACTAAATAAATAAAGTTGGTATTTCAAACAAGTAAAGAATTTCTTGAGAAGCAACGAAGGAACAAAACAAACAACAAATTAAATACTTGAATATATGAGAATAGATTCACTATAAATCTAAAGATTTTTTATACAATTCTTAATTCCATTAATATTTTAAGGGCTCAATTATTGAACTTATCAAATATATTTACCACCAACTTAAATTTTAGAATTAATCTAATGTATATAGAGAACGCCATCTTTATTAATATTTGAATTTCTTTTAAAAAAAAATAATAATTTTTAATTTATTTATTTGTATTAAGCTAAATGTGATTACAAAGTAGAATATGTTCTAACTCAATTATTTGACAATGAACGCTCAATCACCTCGCAGTCGTTGGTGCTCGAAGCATGACCTTTAAAAAAAATAACGATTCCTTTAATCACTGAGGTAAGTTGGTTCCAAGAAGTAAAAATCTTAATAAAATAGAGTTTTTTTTCCACCAAGAACTCTTTGTATTTTTTTTATAAATTTAAAATTTCATTTTGTAATTTTAAAAACCTTAATAAAAATAAATTTTCTCCTCAAAATTCTTGATCCAAATATAATCAATGTTCAATGTTGATTGTTGAAGAATATCATTTATATTTATTGTTGGAGCTCATCCGATCAATTATTTTAATATGATAATATATTTATCGTAAAACATTCTCTATCATCCGTGTAACAAATTCATTGTAGGTTTCAGATTAATGTTATATCTTGGGTAAACTACATTCAGGGTCCCTTAATTATGATGTTAGCAATGAATATGTCATTTACATGTCACTTTGTCGTTAAATTTGAAATGAATGTTTAATATGTCCTAATATAATAATATTTTTAGTCTCTAAAACTTATTTATTCTATCAATTTTGTCCTAACTTATAATTATTCAATAAATTGAACCTTCATAATTTAAAATTCCATCAATTTATTCTTTTTTACGATACTATCAAACCAAACGAGTCGAACAAATCAAAACAATAGTTGGATACAAATCAAAGCAATAGTTGGATAATTACATTCTGACATAAAACAACAATAATTTACCGTTGAACTATTATTATACCAGGAAAATAACATAAAGGCAATATAATATTTTTTGGAGACGAATAAAGACAAAATAAAAATGAATTATTTATTGAATTTTTTCAGATTAGGATCGAAATTGATAAAGTTACATAAGCTTTAAGGATTAAAATTATTATTATATTGGGTCACGTTACTATTCTATCTAATATTTAACGATAGAGCTATAATTGACTTTGGGTGTAGTTTATCATTATATATCTTTTAGGTGTTAGCATATATAATGTTGATATAATCGATAAACTCAATTAGTTCATTCAGTGAGATGAAATATTAAGTCTTTTAATTAAGTATTGTTCAAAGTTTGAATCTTAACGTTATGAATGGAGCAAAATGAATAAAAACAATCTCTTCATAAAGAACACTTGCGATACCTGATTTCAATTAGTAGACCAATAAATCAAATATCAATATATATAATATAATATAAGTTTAAGTATCATATTACACAAAATTAATTAGGAAATTATTGGGTAGGGGTGGATTTAAATAAGAAAAGTGAAATTATTTTAATGTCATTATTTTAAATGATAAACTGAACTAAATCAAATATGTAATCGTTTTAATTATAGACTTATATACAATTTATAAAAATGATGACGGCATAAAGATAATATAAAATAAAGTTATATTATATTATATTTAATACATTAATAATGTATAATTTTATATACTACCAATAATAGATTACAAAATGTGATAGGTTAAAAAATAAAACTAAATATAATTTTATTTTTCTAAAATTATTTATTAAGGATATATACATTAAATATGTTGACTATTAAACCTTATATGCAAATGCCGAAACATCAAATACAGACAATGAGTGATAAAGTAAATAAAATGTAGTGTACGACGCCAACTTTGACGAATAAAAGACTTTGAAGGTGCTGCCCATCACTACAATCATGTTGCCTAAAGTTGTTTTCTACCGCCGGTGCAGTCGACACCGGCTTTTTCTCCCCATATCTTTTAATAATATTTTAAAAAATGCGTAAATTATATATATTTTATAATATTTTATTTGAATAATTCTTTGAAATTGATAAAAAAAATTGTTTTTAATGAATATTAAACTTAAAAGGAGAAAAAATACCAACTAAAAACGTTTAATCACTCGTTCTAAAGATTATTGATTGTATTTGTCTAATATTAAATATACAAGAAGATCCAAACAAACATATATATATGAACAAAATAGATGTATGCTAAAAGAAAGGTTGTCCATAACGTATCAATATACTTATTTTTTTTCAAACACGTGAGTTTAAAATGTTTAAGTTTGACTCAAACTCAAAATAAAAAATTAGAGTTAAAAAAACTTGAACTCGAAACATTCTCATATTTAACTCGATTGAAGCTCAAACTATAACTAGAACCTTAATTACATGAAAATCTTATATTATATTTTTTAAAAACATATAAATGTTCATATTACTAATAATTTAATTTTAAAAATAAAAAAAATAATATTTCTTTTTAATTGCTATTGAGATTTTTAAGTCAGATATAAAGTAGCTTGCTTTGACATGTTAGGAATTCAAGTCAAATTCATTCGAATCTAATATTAATCAAACTTTAATCAAATCAAATTCAAATAAATTATGATATGTCTTCTCTCGTTTACATTCCTAATCAAAATACATTAAAAGTTTAATTGAAATAAATTTTAAATAATTTTATAATGATTTAAGATTAGAACGTACCGACGAATACAACCGGTATAAAACATTTTAGCACCTACGGTAACTAAAAGTATAAAACCCAAAACCTGACAGTCATCAGGCATCAGCAGGGCGTAATTTATAGTCCACGAGGTGTGCATAAGAGTTGCGCCATACATTTATTTAGGGTTTGGTAGGACGTTTGTGTTGAAACTGCGAGGACGGTGAAGCAGGTGGTGGCGGTGGACCCGAAAACCGTACTTACGGGTACGGCATGAATGGGTCGACATTCGACAAAGGGCGGTGTCAGTTCCAAACTGAAAATCACGAAGGGTCAATTAATAATCGGTTTGGAAGTCAAAAACAAACATGTTAATGGAAGACAGACGCACCAAAGTGTGTGCAGGATCCAGCTGTTTCTCTTCCCCAATCTCCAATGATTCGTTTGGTGGTATGTTCCAATCAATCTCAGGCTTCTAAAAGATGACATGTTTCATTTGGAAAGACCCTAAGATGAATTGAGATGCCTAATCCAAATTTAATATTTTCATGTCGAGCTTTATGATACTTAGTGATATATAATTACTTTATGATACTTACTGCTTTAAAATAATAAATGAGAAAAACAAATATTAACCCGTTTACAGTTTAATATTTTAGTAAGTAAAACTCTAACTGGTTGCTTTAAAAATTATACCAATAATTAAACGATTTCTAATAAGGACTTAAATAATAAAAACTACAGTACAATTGCGAATGGTGCAATGAATTTCTAGAAGGCTCGGTTCGTTTTCCTGGCGTGGTAGTTACGGTTTTACTTGGCTCGATATAATAAGTAGGATTAAAAAGAGGAGAGTGACAAGGAAATATTACAAAAAACTGAGCGTCGATGGGCCTGGAAAGAAATGTGCGGTAATTATTGCCTTTTGAAGCTCTTCTGCCCATGAAGTGGGATAATCTTTTATGTTGAAAATCTTAAATCAAATATTTTTAATTAAAAAATATATATCAAGATGGACTAAACTCATTTTTTTCTTAAAAATATAATATAAGATTCGACTTGAATTTAACGAATTAGTTTTTACTGCCCAATTAAACCTGTAAATAACAACAACAACAAAAGTTTTTACTGACTAATTCGGAAACAGCCCAGTCCCTCTATGCTATAGAAAGGGATTTAAAAAGAGGGATTGGTTAGTTAGGTGTAAAGCCTATCGCCACGTGTGAGTAAACCGCGTTGTCAATAGGAAAACCATTTTGCTTATGGAAATGGTTCTATTTCGTCTTCAACAACAATATTTTTTCTATCACTTTAACTAATTTGAGCTCATATTAATTTTAGGCTTAATATAAAAAATATTTAAATATACTTTTTTATTTAAGTATTTAAATTTTTTTCACTGATATAGATATTTAACGTTACAAATATTATTATTTTAAATACGTTAATTATAACAATTATTAAAAAAAATCGTTATCCATTCAAATGTTAACACATGACATTATTTATAATTCTAAATAAGTTTTTAAGTTTAAATCTAAAGAATTAGATTAAAAATAAATTATACTTCTCCTTCTCTCCTCTCTCTCTCTCTCTCTCTCCCCCCTCCCCCATCACCACTTGTCTTTTCCTTCCTCTTTCACTCTTCAATTTTAGTGAGCAGTCCGTCCTGTACTCAAAATAAAATTCAAACCATAAACAAAACAATGAGTTTTTTTATTTTTTCTTTCAAAAGATAAAAAAAGTCTTTCTTTGTCTTAGTGTATACCTCTTTTTCGTTATACACGGGGATCTGAACGAGAACCATTGGGAAGAATCCATTCTCAAAAGTTGCAACAACGTCTTCTTTGAAAATTGGTTTGAACGGATCCGAAGACAACATAAACAAAGAATTAACCTATTTAAGCCTTTGATTAAGAAAACAACAATACAGACATTTATCACCACCATTTCAGATTGCATGGTGAACCGACGGGTGTGGCCGTCGATGACAGTAGTTGGCAATGAAATTGATTTTGGGATTAAGGATTTTATGGACATTTTAAAAAATTTGAGTTTTTTTTATAAAAAAATCATTACCTTAATTTGTTTAAAAAATAAAGAAAATAAAAAATTATGCCACGTATACTTATATTGACCACTATTGATTGTCTGACTAAATTTTAACGAAATCTTTAACGACCATCACGGATCATACACTTAAAGTCGTCAGATACTTATATTGACCGAAAAAAATTTAAACATCTAAATAAAAAAAGAGGTATAATTTAGATTTTTGTTTGTATTAAACCTTAATTTTGTTGAGTTAGATAATACGGTAAAGGTGAAAAGGTTAAATGATATATAACAAATCATAATTTTTTATAAAAATAAAAATGCTTAAGTACCAAATTCAAAATTATCATTGACTAAACATTTTAAACAAATACACGAATCATCAAATATTGGAGTTTATGACTCCCACAAACATGCAGAGTGTACTTTGAATTCCTACCAGTAAACACGCATATCTCATCTACAATCCTATGTATAGATATATGTGGCCTCTTTGATGATGACTCATCAACTTATATCATTATTTCTTAGGATATTCAATCAGGACCAACGCCACAATAACTCCTAATCAAAACATGTCTAGAACACCATAAATAATCATGCAATAGAGTGTAAGCTACGAACAAACTCCCTCACCAAAAACTAGACAAACTCTACCAAGACATCTGTAATCACCTTTAGAACTACGTACCATTTACTTTCTACGGTTGTCGTTTATCTTATTAGTTAACAAAATCTAATCAGTTTAACTGCTTTTTAAAAGGCTATAAATTTCAAACCCCATTGTCTAAGCTACCTAGTGTATAACATTTAAACGGATTATTATATTTTTCAAAATCTCGATAACTATTAATTATATTGGTTGAGTTGAACCACGGACTAAAAAAAAACTCTTTTAACACTTATTTTCTTCATTCTCAAAATTTAAAACATTTTATTTAAGTTCATGAAAACAGATGCACTTATGACAGCCTCTACGCACTCACGTAGCTACTCGGAAGTTCACTTCCTCCATAATATTAATTCAGTCCCCACCCTTCACCATCACTTCCCTATATATATATTTATATATGGATATCATCCATCCAAGCATCACTCTTCTTTCAACCTTGATCAATTTCTTTGTTCTGCAGGATATTAAGTTAAATGGAACGCCAGACAACAGTTAGTCCATCAAGTTACAGAGGTGTGCGCCAAAGGAAATGGGGGAAATGGGTGTCTGAAATCAGGGAGCCAGGGAAGAAGACCCGAATATGGCTGGGAAGCTACGAGACAGCCGAAATGGCATCGGCGGCCTATGACGTGGCGGCACTACACTTCCGTGGTCGAGCTGCTCGGCTTAACTTTCCGGAGCTGGTCGATAGCCTCCCACGTCCGGCTAGCTCCAGTGCAGAAGACATTCAAATGGCAGCTCAAGAGGCGGCACTGAGGATCGGTCGAAGACCCAAGTTGAGCTCGGAAGTGGCTTCGGAGGTAGCTGGTGGTGGGAGCCTTGGTCCAATTAGGACCGGACTGTCACCGAGCCAAATTCAGGCTATCAATGAGTTCCCACTGGATTCTCCCAAGATGTGGACGGAACTGGCTGGTGCACTTTTGTTGGCTGATCCAATCATGTTTGGGGTTGATGATACCGAGTTCATGAGTGAATATGAAGAAATTCTGGTTGAGCCTATTTGGGATTAAATATTTTTTCATCTTCGATATACTGTCGGTTAAGCCTTTCAATTTAATTCCATGAGTAAACTACAAAAATTTACACGTAGAATTTGAAAATTGACCGACAGTATATCAAATCACATAAGATTCCTACATACACACCCTTCTTTTTAACGGGGGAAGAATTATAGCAAAATTGTTGCTCCTATCAAGCTAGGTGACAATGCTTGCAAGTAGCATATACATATTACATAAAATAAATAATCAATAATTTCATAACAAGGATGACATTTAAGAGGTTTAGTTCTAGTAATCTTTTTCCTTTTATTTTCAGATTGTGAGTATATATCAACATATGTGGTTTGGGGATGCTTTGGTAGAAGAATTGAAGGATCTAATAAATATTTTCTTCTTTTCTCTTAGTGTTATTGCCCAATGCAACAACAAACAAATGGATTCTTCCATTGCTTAATTATTACGAAGTGTGCATTCATTAGGGCTCGAATATTAAACTTAAAAGTCAAAAATGAGGAATTGGGTTTTCCAGTTTTTGCTCTCATTTGGGTTGCTCATTGAACAAGAAGTGGCGGCAGGTGCTCGTGCTTCCAAATATTTCTATGCACAAAAGGAAAATTTTGACTATTTCTATATTTGGTAGTATTTTATATGCCTGACCACACGGATGAAAACCGATACCCGGCCCCAACACCTCCCGGGTATTTTTGAGGTTCCACCCACTCTCATTTTAATCCTAAATTATGTATTATATCCGACCAAAATTAAACTTATTTTCTCATAATATATTTTTCGGCATTCACACAACCAAAAATTCAAATAAACTGCTAGAATTATTCTCTGCAAATCACACATAACCAACAATCAGTAAACCAGACATGGTTCAAACTATATCAGAAACGTCATATCCTGATAATATTGTCTTCTTATTAACTACTCGTCTCTCTTAGAAAATGACAAACGAAATAACTTTAGTGAGGACAATTATCTTATACATTATTATTGAGTTCAAAATTGCAAAAAATATGTATAAAAAAAAAAAGCGTCTTCATGCTATACAATATATATTTGTTTTCAATATATATATATATGTATATATATATATTAAAATGACACATCATAATAGTGTATTTAATGACAATCTTATATAGAGGGTAAATTACACTAATGGTCACTAAAGGTTGGGTAAGTTTCTTTTTTATCATTGGTTTTAAAATAAAAAATTTAGAGAAAAAGAAAAGGTGAGAGAAGTGAAAAGGGAGAATTGAGGTTTAAAGAAAGTTTTGAAGATTTAAAGGTCAAATTGATATTTTAGCAATAGTTTAGAGGTTAAACTTGGTATCAACCTTTTTTTTAACATGACAACTCATTAATTTAATGAGAATTGACAGATGTGGGACCGATATGGTATAAAACAATACGTTAGTGACCATTTTATAGTTTTTTAAATTTCAGTGGTGAATAAAAAAATTTATCCAAACTTTAATGACAATTCTTATAATTTACCCATATATAGATGATTATCAATTTATCATCTATACAAATGCTTCATTTTTAGATACAAAATGTATATGAACGTTTTAACTTTTCTAAAGTTAAAGATTCTTGTATCGTGTAATTAGAGGTGTACATGAAAACAGTGTTTAATAAAATTTTAATATAACATTTATTTATTGAAAAAATAACCTCATTGATAAAAAATGCCTTATAATATACGATTTTAACCAATTTTTTTTGGATTTGCCAAAATGACCAACTAAATCGCAATGCGATCGATAATTCGCAACGCGATCTCCGGTATCGCAAATCAGTTTCCAGATTCGCAACGTGATTCTGACTATCGCATTGCGATTTCCCAAATTCGCGTTGCGATTTTCCTAATTCGCAATGCGAATACGTAAATCGCAACGCGATTACGTAAATCGCAATGCAATTACGTAAATCGTAATGCGAATCTGACTATCGCAATACGATTTACATAGCGCCATTCATATTAACGCGTATTTTTTTTCAAATTCCAAACACGAATATATTAATATATCGGAACACTGAACCGTCTACAGTATATCCCGTAATCGTAACTCATAACCTAAAACCCTAAATCACAACTCAGTCTCATCTCCATCTCTCACTCTCTAAGGCGACATCCGTCCCCATATCCGACAAAATCAGTCCCCACGACGATAACAGTCTCCATCTCCGGTGAAATCATTCACGGTCAGAAATGGAAAATCAACCAAATCAACCATCGAGGGTTAGTTTTTTTAATTATTTTTATTTTGAAATTTTTGCATTATTATTAGGTTTTTCATATTGAAATTGATGATAAATTTACTAGTGTTTTCAATAATAGATTAACCATTTCACTTAGATTGCTTATTATATTCATTCGATTGCTGCCAATACTGCTAAACTGTTTAGTCTTTAACCCTGTGAAGTTAGTATTTGTCTTTGTTTTGTCTTTTGGTTGAAGTAATGCAATCCATTCAAGTTTCTTTCAATTTTAGTATTTGAAACCGAGAATGACTATCGCAACGAGTGAATCGCAACACGAAAATGACTATCGCAATGCGAATTTGACTATCGCAACGAGAGAATTGCAATGCGATTTTCATTTAGCGTTGCGATTCTTGCGTTGCGATAGTCAAATTCGCGTTGCAATAATCATTTTCGTGTTGCGATTTTCATTTTCGTGTTGCGATTTAAAGTTTCAGAAACTATTCTTCTTCTGCAAATTGAAACTTGAATGAATTGCATTACTTCAACCAAAAAACAAATACTAAATTCACAGTGTTGCAAATTTAAGTTTGAAGAATAAACTACTACTCTTTATTGTTCATATCTTCACAGTGTAGTTTTTGGTATATCTAAATTGGTATGTTTATTGTTTTTGCAGAACTTTTATTCGGCTCAATTGACCTTAAGAAATAAAATAAGCCTGGCCAAAACAATTACGTCGAAGCTTTCACCTGCACAAAGAAAAATATTTGAGGATACTTGCTTCGGGCCATTGCTGAAAGTACAACATCCGGGTGGAGATGCTATGTTGACCCATCTGTTTCTTCAAACCATGACTAGCGATCTACCAGAGACTATAGAACGTCGTGATGAAGAGATATGGTTTGATTTTCCACCGGCGTATACGTGTTTTGGGCGGGAGGAGTTTTGCTTAATCACTGATCTATGCTTCGGACACGATGATGTAGATCGGTACACTAGACATATTACCCGCCTATCATGGTTTTCCCGGGTTTTTCCTGAGCAGTCAACGGAGAAGTCCAATTTACACGTGAAAGACTTGACGAGATTATCGAATAAGAAAGATGGTTTTACTCGGATGGATGACGTCGATGTTGTCCGAGTATGCCTTCTAATACTTTTGCAAGCCGACTTTTTAGGTAGAGAGGCCCGACAACCTATTCCTAATGATCTAATTAAATTGGTAGAGGACCTAAATGCATGGAACCTATTTCCGTGGGGTTCGTATCTATGGAGAGCTACATGGAATAAGTTGTCGTCTGCCTTTAATGATCGGAAAAGTTTGCGTGGCGATGGTTCCAAATACACTTTGTCAGGCTTTATTTGGGCCTTTAAGGTAATAATTTTTATATAATGTTTCCAAAATTATAATTAATTCTTTAACAATTACTAATGTTTGTTATTATATTGTTTGTAGATTTGGATATTTGAGGCCTTTCCCGCCATGCAGACATATGCATTAAAAACTTCTAATGATATTCCTAGGGCTATTTCCTGGAAGAGGAAACGGTCTTTGCAGCAATGGGACGATTTACTACCGTATACTACAATAAATAATGAAAGTTAACACAAATACTACCATATGTTTATAAACAAGTTATTACTAGTACACGTTTAACTTTGTTTGAGCTTTTATATTATTAGGAGGCCAACACTCCATTACAGAGGCTGACACCCACGGAAGCTGAGCTTGCCACTGATTGGTGGCGAGCTAGTAAGCTTTTTTTTTATGGCACGGATGATGAGCAGCCACCACTTCGAGAGAATCACCTCACCCAGAGCCATCACCTGATCGACCCGAATATACACCTCCACAACGAGAGTCATCACCTATTCTGTCACATCATCAAGCCTTTTCTCCACCATCACCTCATAAAAGGCGACCGGCAAAGACGCCACGACGTTTATCTCCCTGTTCTCCACCTCCACCTCCACGGGATGAGTTAGGGGAGTTACGTAATGAGATCAATGCCTTGCGTGAGGAGGTCGGTACTTTACGCGATGACAATGGTGCATGGCGTGTTGAGGTGTCTACTTTACGTGGTGAGGTAGCAGCTCTACGTGAGATTGTAGCATCGTTGCAGAACGAGGTTCATACTCTACGCAATGAGGTAAGTTTAATATTTTTCATATTTAACTTGATGATAAATTTACTCGTAATTTCACTTAGATTGCTTAGTAAATTCATTCGGTTGCTGCCAATACTGTTTAACTGTTTATTCTTTAACCCTGTGAAGTTAGTATTTGTTTTTTGTTGTCTTTTGGTTGAAGTAATGCAATCCATTCAAGTTTCAAATTGCAGAAGAAGAATAGTTTACTATCGCAATGCGAAAATGACTATCGCAACGAGAGAATCGCAATGCGAAAATGACTATCGCAATGCGAAAATGACTATCGCAATGCGAAAATGACTATCGCAATGCGAATTTGACTATCGCAATGCGAAATGAAAATCGCATTGCGATTCTCTCGTTGTGATAGTCAAATTCGCATTGCGATAGTCATTTTCGCGTTGTGATTTTGTTGTTGTGATTTTCATTTCACATTGCGATTCTCTCGTTGCGATAGTCAAATTCACATTGCGATAGTCATTTTCGCATTGCGATAGTCATTTTCACGTTGCGATTTTAAGTTTTAGATTCTATTCTTCTTCTGCAAATTGAAACTTGAATGAATTGCATTACTTCAACCAAAACACAAATACTAACTTCACAGTGTTGAAAATTTAAGTTTCAAGAATAAACTACTACTCTTTATGTTGTCATTGAACCTGCACTAAACCTATATGTTGTCCTTTTAAATGTTTATATAAGTGCTTACTTCTGGAATGTTATCTGATGCATTTTGTGAACAATGATATAATAATGACTTGGGTGAATAT